TTTCGCGATTGATCTTTTCCATCTGCGCGACCGCGTCGACAAAGCGGCCGCGGGCGCGGAGCAGTTTGATGTACTGGAACAGCGCCCGCGCGTCTTGCCGACCGAGTGTCGCCGCACGGTCGTAGCTCTCCAATGCCTTGCGGACGTTGCCCTGCGCCAGCGCGATGTCGGCCTGGAGATTGATCAGGTCGTTCCAATCCCGGCGCGACGCCAACGCCCGTTCCACCAGCTCGGAGGCCTGCTTGACGCCGTCGCCCTGACCGCCGCTGACGCGATACTCATTGAGCAGTCGGCTCGCCTCGGTGTACAGCCATGTCGGGTCCTCTTTCGATCCGACGAGGTCGAGGATCGCGTCCTGCGCTCGCTTAACGCCAGCGGGGTCGTTCGCGGCGAGCGAGACGTTGAACATGTCGATCAACGTCGGCAGGTCGCCCGGCTGGAGCTCGGCGACCCTCCGCAGGCATTCCGCGCGGGCCTCTTCATCGCGGAGTCTGGCGAACTTCTCGGCCAACCCCTTCCAGAGCTGGACCTTCTGCGGGGTCTCCCAATCGTCGATCCCTTCCGTCAAAGCGAAGAGCTGGTCGGTCAAGTTCTCATCGTTGATCATCGACAAGAGGTCGGCCTTCTCGAGGCGTAGAATCGGCATGTCGCCAAGGTCTTCGACCACCTTGTCGAGCAGCGTCAGCGCCTTGGCCGGGCCCTGATCCGGGTCGGCGGCGAAGAGCTTCACCGCGGCGCGGCGGACGCCCAAGTTATCCGGGTCCTTCTTGTAGGCGCCGATGAGCAGCTTGCGCGCCTCCGGGTACTTGCCGCGACGCATCATCACCTCGCCACGGAGGATGTCGAGCATCGCGTCGCCGAGCTGCATCTTCTCGATGTAGTCCTTGCAGACCTCATCGAAGGCCTCCCAGTTCTGCTGGCTCTCCGGCTTGGCGAGTTCTTCGGCAAGCGCCGCGTAGATCGACACCCCCTCGTTGTCGCGGCCGGTGCGGCCGATCTTCTGCATCGTGCGCAGCCGGCCCTGCTCTGCCATCAGGTTGCCCGGCTCAAGCTGTAACGCCAGGTTGAACGCCTCCAGCGCCAGCTCGTCCTGGCCGAGCGCCTCGCGACAGAAGCCGAGCATCACATTAAGCTCCAGCCCCATTGTCGGGTTGGACGCAAAAAACTGCTGGTACTTCTCGAACAGCTGGATCGCCTCGAGGTACTTCTTATCATCCATCAGCAGACGACCCTCGAAGTAATCGGGGTACGCCGACGGGATCATCTCCCCTTCTCGCATTTCGGCGATCGTCTTGCGGACGTCGTCCTTCTTGCCCTGTTGGAGTTGCAGCCGCGCTTTCTGCACCATCAGGACCTGCGACTGGTCGATGGCGACCGCCTTGATGCCTCGGTCACAAGCCGCGAGCGCGCCCTCGAAGTCTTTGTTGACAATCGACGCTTCCGAAAGAGTCTGATAAAGCCCCGTGTCGGTGGGGTCCCGCTCGAGAGCCTCCTCGATCATTGCGATCGCTTCCTCGGGCCTCTCGTCACGCAACGCCAGCCGCGCGTTTGCGATCACCACGGTCGTGTTCTCGGGCTCGAGCTCGAGCGCCTTCTTCACCAGCGGGATCGCCTCGTCTTTCTTATCACTCGCCTCGAGCCAACTCGCCTTGGCCAGAAGAGCCTCACCGCTCTCGGGATTGGCTTCGACCATCTGGTCGATGACCTCGTTGGCCAGGTCGCCCTCGAACTGATCGGACTTCAGCTTGTAAGCCAGCCGGCTATAGACGCCTGCATCGTGTGGAGCAATCGCCTTGGCTTCGTCGAACTCGCCTTCTGCCTTGTCGTAACCGATCAGCTTGTAGGCGTGTTCGATCGCTTTCGGGTCGTTGGCGGCGAAGTAGCACTCCGAACGCATCACCTCGAGCTCGGGGTCGTTCGGCTTGCGGTTGAGCAACTGCGACACGTGGTCGAGCGCCTGCTTGAGCATCCGCACGCGGCGCGACATATACAGGTCCACCAAGCGACGACGCAGGTCGTCGCGCTCGGGGAACTCCCGGACCGTCATCTCCAGCTGCGCCATCGCGTTGCGGATATGGACGGGCTCCGACTTCGGCTGAGCCGCGATGTCCGCGAAGACATTCGACAGGTCCGCCATCGCCTCTTCGTCCCGCGGCTTGATCCGCAGGTAGTCCACCAGCAACTCGGACGTTCGCTTGAGGTCGCCCTCGGCCCTTGCGGCCTCCGCGCGGTCGAGCAGCCGATTGGCGTTACGCGACTTTTGGAACTTGTAGAGTCCGTACGACCCGCCCAGGATGGCGATCGAGCCGACGACGATCGCGATGAGCAGCGTGAGGTTGACGCGGTAACGATGCATGAGAGGACCCTACCTGGGGTTCCTGCTGGACGGTGAAGCGGACGAGCTAGTGTCTCGTGGCGAAGCGCCGGGCCGATTGAGACGCCCGGGCGACCCAGCGCGTTCCCTCAGTTAGGGACAATCGCCCGACAAGCCTGTCATCGTATCGGGGCATGGGGGGCTGTCAACGAACCCAGCTCGGCGTAAACGCCTGTCAAATAGGGACTTTCGTCCGGCGGCGCGGCTCGGGAGGGTTGCGCAGGTTCGTTCACTCGACCCGAAGCCAAACCGGCTCCGAGAGGGCTCCACCCGGCTCGGCGACTGCCTGGAGCCGCACCGGCCCCTGCCCCAGCAAGTCGGCTGGAACCAACGCGTCGCCTCCATCGCCGTCGATCGTCGCTACCTCACGGAAGTTGTGTCGGATGACAATCCGCTCGGCCCCCTCAGCCTGCGCGGCGAGGGCGACCTCGCCGTCCAGCGGCGTGCTGCTTTTTGCATCGAGCTTCAGAGTCACCCGGGGCGTTTTCGCCCCGCCAGGGCCGCCATCGCCCGAGCCGACTTCCAGCCCCCCGAGCCGGCGCCGTTGGGCTTCGATTGCATCGGGGTTGATCCCGACGCAACGCAGGTCGTGCCAGCCCGGGCCGAGCTGATCGGTGGTAAACACCGCTTCGGTGTCCGATGGCAGCCGCATCCGCAGGCGACCATCGACAAACAGCTCCCAAAATGCGGTCCCTTTCGCTCCATTAGGGGTGACGCGGGGCTTAATCCGCAGTGCGCCGGGCGGCGTGTCGGCTGGCGGGACTTCAGCAGTTGGGGCGGACGGGGCGGGCCCCGCTCTCTTCGCCGGCTTGGTGAGGCCGAGTTGCTCGAAGCCGATCGTGCTGGTCGCGCCCGGCTTAAGGAGGTCCTCGTCGGCTTCCTCGGGCCACCCTTCGACTTCGAGCGTCGGCCGTTTCGCCCATGGCTGGCATAGCGGGTCGCCGAGAATCAGCAACTGATAGGGCGCCGCGACCGACTGGTAGAACGCCTCGGCGAGCGAGCAACCACGCCGGTAGTGGATCGGCAGCATCGGCGAGGGAAACTTCACCTGGATGCCGTAGGGCTCGTTCACCGTGCCGCTCGTGCCCGTGGCGCCGGCACGGATCAGCTCGGCGATCGAGGTCTGCTCGCTCTGCTTGAAGAGCATCCCGCCCGTGCTGGTGAGATGCTCACAGATGGCGCCCGGTTGGATCGTCATGGCGGCCGTGTCGAGGGCGAGATGGGGCGACCCCATCATCAACCCCGCCACATCGTCGGCGCCAGCGGGACGAACGCCCACCTTCACGACCGCCTTGGCGCCCAAGCGCCGCAGTTGCTCCGCCGCCACGTCGTAGCAGCCGTGCCGCACCTGCGAACGGATGTCGTTGTTACGCATGAAGTAGAACGTGCCGGTGGGAGGCGACGCCTCGGCCTCAACGGCCCGCTCCAACGAAGCGATGACTTCATCAACGGTGTTGCCCCGCCCCGTCGTGACGCCGAGCATCGTTGACAACAGGTATCGGCGGACGGGTTGGTCCTCGGCGTCTTCGTCATCGCCGTCCGGACGTTTGACGCTGGCCTCTTTCCCTCCAGCAGGGTTCCACAAGTACCGCGACCGAAACCCCCGCGACGGTGCGGCGCCCAAGAGTCGGCACTTCTGCTGGTTGGTCGCGCGGGACTGACCCGGCGCGGTCGCGTAGTACCAGTTCGAGTCGAATGACGTGATTCCCGGGCTCTTCGCCAGCGCGAACCCATAGAGAAAGGTCGCCCCATTAAGTGACGCCACCTTCGACATCACCGCCGGCAGCTTGAGATCTTCTGGGTACTCCTCCTTGAGCGTGATCCGCCATGGGAAGTCGGTCGAGTAGGCGATCATGTCGATCTGCAATGCCAGACCGCGCTCATTGATCGTGTCGATAATCGGCTGCAGGATCTGCTTGCGGAACACCGCCCCGCTAGCCGCTTCGAGCGGCCCCTTGTAATCCAGGGCAAGGACGTTCGACGCCGGCACGTCGCGTAGGCGGACGTAGTGGTTGGCGACCGCCTTCGAGCCGGCGCTATTGGCGTTCACCACCACCAGAACGTTCTCCGGCCCGCCGCCCGCCAGGGCTCCCCGGGCGGCTAGCAACAGCGCGAACGTCGCTGCGATAGCGAGATTTCCGGTCGATCGGGTCATGCGGGCCTGGCGGCTTGTCGTTTGCGGGGCGGAATCACGCCGGGCAGGTATAGTGGGGATATCCGCCCACCGGCCGGCGGGCTTCCCTCCCCTTCAGAAACCTAGCTCGGTCGATGCCCGGTATCGGTTCGTTCTTTCGATCGCTGCTCGATAGCGGCAAGGTCGATGTCGCCAGCCGCTTCGAGATTCTTCGCGAAGCCGTGTCGGGGACGATGTCCGACTTCAACATGGCTCGCGACCGCGAGACCGGCGAGATCGTCGGCCTCAAGGTGCTCGATAAGCTTAAGACGGAGCAACTCGAGGCCCGGTTCCGTGGCCTGAAGAAACCGACCGAAGGCGAGATCGCGTCGCGCTTCGACCACCCGACCATCGTCAAGACGCTCCGCCACGGCATGACGACCAAGGGCGAGCAGTACGTCGTCATGGAGTTCCTCGACGGCCCGGGCCTCAACTCACTGATCATCGGACGCGACAAACGCCTCGACGGCAACCGCCTCACCCTGATGCGTCAGGCCGCCGAGGCCCTCGACGTCGTTCACAAAGCGGGGTTCATCCACCGCGACGTCTGCCCCCGCAATTTCGTCTGCGCGAAGGACGCTTCGTCGCTGAAGCTCATCGACTTTGGCCTCACCGTCCCCGCCGAAAAGGAGTACATGCAGCCCGGCAACCGCACGGGCACGCCCAACTACATGGCCCCGGAGATCGCCCGTCGGCGGCCGACCGACCAGCGCGTCGATGTCTTCGCGTATGGGGCGTCGATGTTCGAGATGTTCGCGTTCGAACTCCCCTGGCCCCGCGGCGCCGACGGCCTGGCGGCCATGTCGCACGGCGTCATCGCCATCCCGCCGCTGTCGGGCCTCGTGCCGGGCGTCCACCCTGAGGTCGAGGCGATCATCACCGAGTGCCTCGCCGCCGACCCCGACAAACGCCCCCGCACAATGGAGGCAATCGTCAAACGCCTCAAGCGGCTCAAGAGCGAGTACGCCGACAAGGGGTAACGCCAACCGACGAGCCGTAAGCGTCAGCGCATTGTGCATCCATCGTCGTAAGTGGAAGAACCGGACGCTAAGGCGTTCCGGCTGATCTTACGGGCGAGCCCTTATTAGCCGCGGGGCCTTAGCCCCCGGTTCTTTGCCTAGCGTTCGACATAACCTCTTGATCGCCAAGACCTGCAAGATGCTCGTCAGCGACCGGAGGGAACCACCGGCGGGGGCGCCGAAGCAACGACCCTGGGTTTCGGTCCGGCCGCGTTCCGCCCTAGACTTCGTGGCATGAACCGCCCCGCCCTGCCGCCTCTGTTGCCGCGATTACTGCCGCTAGTCTCCGCTGTCCTTTTCATGGGGTGCGATACGCCGCTGTCGCTTTCGCAGCGGCTCGACGGCCGGTGGGTTGGCCGGCCGGAGTCCGCCGCCGAGCGCACCGTCCGCGAATGGCCGACGCGGGAGTCGGACCCCGACGACCCGGCGATCGCCGAGGCCGCCGCCGAGACGCCGCCGACCGACCTGGAGGCGTTCGACAGCGTGCGGGTCGAGTTGGAACTCGACGACTCGGGCGCTGCACGCATGAGCCTCGCCGGCGGCGAGCCGTTGGTGGGCGAGTGGCAGCTGTCCTCGATCGAGGGCCGCCGCGGCGTGCTGGAGATCAGCGTCGAACGCGGCGAAGTGGACGGCAAGCCGACCTTCGAGACGCGGCGGTACGACGTCGAGGCGCTGCGGCCTGTAGATGGCGAGGGCTTTGTGCTCCGCGAACAGAACGCCGACCGGCGTTTCGGGCGCCTGCTCTTCCGCCGCCCCGGCGACGAAGGGCCCGCCGCTGGCGCCGCGACAGCGGCCGCCCAAACGACCCCCGAGGCTCTCCCCAAGGCCGTGCCGTGACTGACCGCGAACGCTGGATTGTCTATCCGCTGCTGTTCCTCGCCCTAGGGTCGGCGCTACGCGACAAGCTCGCCAAGCAGACGCAGGCCAAGCAGATCGTCTGCGAGCAGCTGCTGTTGGTGGACAACGAGGGTCGCCCCGCCGCGGCGCTGACGGGCAACGAGCTGCGGTTCGATGTCGGCGGGATCGGCAACGGGCACATTGTCGGCGGCAAGATCGAAGCCCTGGGCTTCCTGCAACGCGGCCAGCCGGTGCTATCGCTCGGGCCGCAGCAATCGATCTCGATCCCGCAGCTGTTGCAGCAGCTGCTGCCGCAAATGCAATTGGCGCCGGGTTTGCCGCAACTTCAGGCGCCGCCGCAACCGCCCGGCCAAGAACCGCCGCCAGCCGACGAAATGCCAGCCGACGAAGCGCCCGACGAACCACCGGCCGAAACGCCCCAACCCGCCAATCCCGCCCTGCAGGAAGCCGAACCGGCGCCAGCTGCCTAGCGTAATGGTGAGTTGGGCGTGCTGGTGAGCTGATAGCCACGCAACGCCGTCTCAGGCCAACCTTCGAACCACCCAAAATGATCCACTTCGACCCGATGTATTTCGTGTTCATCGCGCCCGCCTTCGTGCTGGCGCTATGGGCACAGGGCCGCACCAAGGCGGCGTACGCCGCCGCCTCGCAGGTCCCCGCTCGTCTGAGCGGCGCCGCGGCGGCGCGGCACCTGCTCGACTCGGCGGGCCTGCAGGACGTTGGCATCGAGGCGATCCCCGGCGAGCTCACCGATCACTACGACCCCAGCCACCGCGTCCTGCGGCTCAGCCAGGGCGTTTACGGCGAGCGGACGATGGCCGCCGTGGGCATCGCCGCCCACGAAGCGGGCCACGCCTTGCAGCACGCCAAGAACTACAGCCCGCTGATGATCCGCAACCTGGCCGTCCCCGCAGCGAACTTCGGCGGGGGGCTTGGCGGCTTGATGATCATCGGCGGCGCCATGCTAAACTTCCCTGCGCTGTTGTGGGCCGGCATCGCCGCGTTCTCCGCCGTGGTGTTCTTCCAGCTGATCAACCTGCCGGTCGAATTCGACGCCAGCAACCGCGCCAAGGCGCAGCTGGTGAGCTACGGCATCGTCCCGCAGCAAGAGATGTCCCACGTCAACAGCGTGCTGAACGCCGCGGCGTGGACCTACGTCGCCGGCACGCTGCAATCGATCATGATCCTGCTGTACTACGTGTGGCGGTTCGCCGGCAGCAGCAACCGCTGAGGTCGCCCCGTAGGGTGGGTCGCGACCCACCAGAAGCAGAGCGGACTCGGGGGGCATGGTGGGTCGCGACCCACCCTACCCCTACGGTTGCATTGCCGGCAGCAGCAGCGAGCCTTCCGCTTGTTCCCAGTCGCTCGATCGAGGTACGATCCTGATAGCAACCTCTCTCCACTGGAGCCCCGCAGGATGAAGGCCTCCCCCAATTTCTCGTCGGCCAGTTTCTCGTCGACCAGTCTCTGGCTTGTCGCTGTCGCTTGCCTCGCCACGGGCGTCGCCGCCGGCGTGCTGGCGACGCGCAATAGCGAGCCCGCGCTCACGCTGCCGCCGATCGACGTGCACGCCATGGCGACCGCTTCGCACGACAACTTTGTCATCGCGACCGGGGTCGTTGAGGACGGCACCGAGGGGCTCTTCTTCCTCGACTTCCTCACCGGCGACCTCAAGGCGACGGTCGTCAACAGCCGCGGCTCCGGCTTCAACGCGTACTATCAGTACAACATCGCCAACGACTTCAACACCGGCGCGGTGCAGAACCCCAAGTACCTGATGGTGACCGGCCTCGCCCGCGACCAGCAGGCCCGCGGCTCGGGCCGCATGGCGCAGAGCATCCTCTACGTCGTCGAGGCCACCAGCGGCCAGCTCGTCGCCTACGGCATCCCCTACAGCCGCGCCAACCAAACGGCGGGCAAGCCCCAGGTCGGCACGTTTATCCCGCTCGCCAAGGCGAGTTTGCGGAACGAGTTTGTTCGGGATCAATGAGAAACGAAGTGGGCCACCGCCACTTAGCCCCCGGTCAATGACCGGGGGCTAAATGGGATGGCCCACTGCCCACTGCTATGCAAATCCACCTCAACGGCGAGCCGCGCGACGTCCCCGAGGGGGTGACGGTTGCGCAGTTGCTCGAACTACTCAAGGTCCGCATGAAGGGCGTCGCCGTTGAGCGGAACCTCGACGTCATCCCCCGCGCCGAGCATGCGACGACCAGCCTCACCGCTGGTGATCGGGTGGAGGTGGTGACGCTGGTGGGAGGCGGCTGAAGTAAAAGGGGTATGGGGAAAGTGGAAAGGGGAAAGTGGA